GTCTACCCATGAAAGTCAATGGGGATTAAAGGACATCAGGTCTACCCGTTAAAGTCAATGGGGATTAAAGGACATCAGGTCTACCCATTAAAGTCAATGGGGATTAATGAGACATCAGGTCTACCCATTAAAGTCAATGGGGATTAAAGGGCAACAGGTCTACCCATGAAAGTCAATGGGGATTAAAGGGCATCAGGTCTACCCATTAAAGTCAATGGAGAAAGTGGGACATCACGTCTACCCATTAAAGTCAATGGAGGAAATGGGACATCAGGTCTACCCATTAAAGTCAATGGGGATAAATGAGGCATCAGGTCTACCCATTAGTCAATGGGGATAAATGAGACATCAGGTCTACCCATGAAAGTCAATGGGGATTAAAGGGCATCAGGTCTACCCATTAAAGTCAATGGGGATTAATGAGACATCAGGTCTACCCATTAAAGTCAATGGAGAAAGTGAGACATCAGGTCTACCCATTAAAGTCAATGGAGATAAATGGGACATCAGGTCTACCCATTAAAGTCAATGGGGATCAGTGAGACATCAGGTCTACCCATTAAAGTCAATAGGATAAGTCAGATATCAGGTCTATCCATTAAAGACAATGGTTCAAATGGACACCAGGCATGGACCCAAAATCCACTCAAAACCCACCCAAATCCACCCAAAATCCACCCAAACCTCACCTGGGACTCCTCAAATCCCACCTGGGACCCAAAAAATCCACCTGAAACCCACCAGAATGGACCCAAAATCCCTTGAAAACTCAATGTATTGCCCTGAAAATTCAATATATTTCCTGGTTTTTTCCCCTTATAACCCCCCAAATCCCCTTTAATCTCCCCAAAATGATACCAGGATATTTTTTTCTGTCCCCAGACCCCGGTGTTCGTGTCGTTCTTCCTGGCCCTGCAGGGCCTGGCGGCGGCTCCGGCCCCGGGGCTGCTCCAGGGAGGGCTGGGCTGGTTCCAGGACCTGTCGGCCTCCGACCCCTATTACGTGCTGCCCCTCCTGGTCACAGCCTCCACCTGGATGGTGCTCGAGGTGAGGATTTCGGGGGGTTTTTGGGGACATTTGGGGGGTTAAAAGGGGAAAAAATGGGAAATCGGGATCGGTGAGACATCAGGTCTACCCATAGAAATCAATGGGGCAAATGCGACATCAGGTCTACCCATTAAAGTCAATGGGGATGAATAAGACATCAGGTCTACCCATAGAAATCAATGGGGCAAAGGGACATCAGGTCTACCCATTAAAGTCAATGGGGCAAATGCGACATCAGGTCTACCCATAAAAATCAATGGGACAAAGGGACATCAGGTCTACCCATAGAAATCAATGGGGCAAATAGACATCAGGTCTACCCATTAAAGTCAATGGGGCAAACGCGACATCAGGTCTACCCATTAAAGTCAATGGGGATAAATGAGACATCAGGTCTACCCATTAAAGTCAATGGGGCGAATTCGACATCAGGTCTACCCATAGAAATCAATGGGACAAAGGGACATCAGGTCTACCCATTTTGGGGGGATATATTGAATTTTAGGGGCAATAAAGTGAATTTGGGGGGAATAAAGTGAATTTTGGGGGGGTTATATTGAATTTTGGGGGAATATATTGAATTTTGGGGGGAATATATTGAATATTGGGCAGAATATATTGAATTTTGAGGGAATGAAGTGAATTTTGGGGGGGAATATATTGAATTTCGGGGGGAGAAAATAGGATTAAATGGGAGTTTGGGGGGGGGATTTTGGGGGGATTTTTGGACATTTTGAGGGGATTTGGGGGGTTCAGTGGGGCATAAATTGAATTTTTGGGGGGAATTAAAGGGGGTTTTGAGGGGTAAAATGGGATTAAATTGAATTTTGGGGGGTTTAAGGGGAATAAATTGAATTTTGGGAGGTTTAAAGGGGAATAAATTGAATTTTGGGGCGTTTAAAGGGGAATAAATTGAATTTTGGGAGGGATTTTGGGGAAATTAAAAAATTAAATGGAGTTAAATGTTATGCAAATGAGGGTGGGCGTGTCTAACCCTTGCCCCGCCCCTCCCGCAGCTGGGGGCGGAGACAGGCGTGGCCACGCCCGGGGGCGGGGCCGTGCGGCAGCTGCTGAGGCTCCTCCCCCTCCTCTTCCTGCCCTTCATCCTCCACTTCCCCACGGTCAGTCGGGGGGCGGGGCCTAATGGGGAGGGGGCGGGGCTTAGGGAGGAGGGAGGGGCTTCATGGGAGGGGTCACAGGGAGGGGGAGGGGCCTGTAAAGGTGGGAGGGGCCTGCGAGAAGGGGAGGAGCTTTTAAAAGGGGGAGGGGTCCTATGGGGTGGAGGAGGGGCCAAATTAAGGGGGAGGGGCCTGTGAGAAGTAGGAGGGGCCTCTGATTAAAGGGAGGGG